CTAGTTATTCAGAATCAGTGTTTTTCTTTTTCTAACAGATTTTTAAAAATCCTGGTTTGTGTTTAAAACATTCATCAAAACTCCTGTTCAAAAGCTTTAAGTAAAAAAGGATTGGAACCACAGTTCTCAGATTAATTGGGCATGAACAGTTAACTCGGAAGTCACTGAACCAGGGGTCCTCAAACTTTTTAAACAGGGACCAGTTCACTGTCCCTCAGACCGTTGGAGGGCCAGACTATAGTTTAAAAAAAACTATGAACAAATTCCTATGCACACTGCACATACCTTATTTTGAAGTAAAAAAAACAAAACAGGAACAAATACAATATTTGTATTTGCATGTGGCCCGCGGGCCGTAGTTTGAGGACCCCTGCACTATACGTTTCTAACGCTCTGTGTCATAAGGGACAGTAGGAGTGATAACGGTGTTGGCATCTGTTGGCCCATCACTGCTGGGAATAGAGTGGGCACTTCACATGAACCAGACACATTTTTTATGAAACAATTCTGTGCTTTCTTTTGAGACTTTTTCAAGTATCAGTAATTTTTCCCAATTATTCATAAATAGGTTTACTATAAACATTTTGGGGGTGGGTGTGATTTTTAATGTTAATCCCATTCCCTCAAAGATATCCATTATGTTGTTGATTTGGGATAGGGGTGATATGGTGTGCACACGGTTTTTCCTGCAGTGGTATTTATATGATTAGACGTTTACTCTTTAAATACAACTCTACATAATTCTTTAACTAGTTTCCTCTTTATATTTTATTGATTTTTTACAGAGAGGAAGGGAGAGGGGTAGAGAGCCAGAAACATCGATGAGAGGTCCGCAGGCTGACGCTCTATCCATTGAGCCAAACCGGTTAGGGCAACTAGTTTCCTCTTTAAATACAACTCTCGTTTTAGCACTTCTCCAGTATGTTTTGTATTGCCGTAGGTAGTCTGCCCTTCTGTTTATGGTTGGTACTAGAAGCTGGAGCCTGTGCTTCCTTCCCCACATGTTGGTCAGTGAAGTTTGTCAGGTGAATCTCCCTTTCCTGTTGGCTTAGTGTCAGGTGAGCTTCCCATGCCGGGGCAGTCACACTGATTTCCGTAAGAGCCTGATCCTTCTTGTGAACTCATAAAAGTAGAGGGAGCGGAACTTGCACTGTGCTCTCGGGGATTCCACCCCATTACCAGAGAATTTTTATTATGCCAGTCCAGAGAACTGGCGATGTACTCAGCTACATCTATTCGGTTAAAAACGCTTTTGTTTATTGATTTTAAAGTAGGAAAGGGAGAGAGAGAGACAGACACATGGATAGGTTGCTTCCTGCACGCCCCCTCCTGGGGATTGAGTCCGAAACCTGGGCATGTACCCTGACCGTGAACTGAACTAGTGACCTCCTCCTGGTGCTTGGGGCATGCTCAACCAACTGAGCCACACTGGCTGGGCTCAGTGTTTTTTATATAGAAGATCGTTATAAACTCTCTCAGGGCAAACTGTTATCAAATTAACCTATCCCCCTGTTCTCCTACCCTCTGAATTTAATTTACATATATCTTTTCTGAATGTGAAATTTCTACTCTTTTTCTCTTATTTGAAACAGATGACACAAGATTTTAGGCCTCTTTTTATTCCTTATTCCTTATTTCCCCTTCCCCTCTGCTATCCAATTCTGTTCCCAAGAGCCTATGTTTTGAGACATTATGTCTATTTTAGAAGTTCTCTGCTATTTCTGAAAGAGGTTCACAGATGGTGAGTAGACCATCCTGTCTGTGAGTTTCAACTCTTATAAAGGAGGAATTTGCCTTCGGAGCCTGGCGGCCTGTGCCCAGCATGGCTGCTCCCTCCTGAAGTGCTGATCCCTGCTTTGCTCTGGCTTCTCCTCCCTTCTAGTTGCTCCTGTCACTGTCCTGTACTGCTGCTGTTTTCTCATGTTGATCTTTAAATGCTAGGGTGCCCCCTCAGTCCTTAGGCTTCTTTTATCTAGACCAGCGGTTCTCAACCTGTGGGTCGCCAACCTGTGGGTCGCGACCTCTTTGGGGGTCGAACGACCCTTTCACAGGGGTCGCCTAAGACCATCGGAAAACACATATATAATTACATATTGTTTTTGTGATTAATCACTATGCTTTAATTATGTTCAATTTGTAACAATGAAAATACATCCTGCATATCAGATATTTACATTACAATTCATAACAGTAGCAAAATTACAGTTATGAAGTAACAACGAAAATAATTTTATGGCTGGGGGTCACCACAACATGAGGAACTGTATTAAAGGGTTGCAGCATTAGGAAGGTTGAGAACCACTCATCTAGACTTACTTCCCAGATGATTTCATTCCATCCTCTGACTTGAAATAGTATTAGTACTGTACTGACACCAGGTTTAATTATCCAACCTGCACACCAGGCCCTGGTGTTCAACTGCCTCTCATCATCTCCACCTGGTCCCTAATGGGTATCTCAGATGTTACCAAAAGCAAACTCCTGCACTCTGACCCCAGCCCAAACCTGATTTCCCTGTCACCTTTGTCACCTTCATAAATATTAACTCCATTCTTCCACACAGAGGCACATTTGAGTCCTTTTTCTTCCACACAGGCTGTTAGCAAATCCCATCTACCAGCAAGACCTTCAGGAAAGATCCTGAAACTAACCACCTGTCACCACCTCTGCTGCTGCAAGCCACCAGGATCTCTCTCTCTCTCCTCTGCTTTAGTGCAGTAGTCTCTTACCTGGTGTTTTCTCTCTTGCCCCACAAATTATTAACAGATTCATTAGAACTTCTTTTTTAAAAGCATTCATTGTGAGCTCTCCACATGGCAAGTAGCTAGCAGGGGCCTTTACGACTGTAAGTTGAATCACGTCACTGTTCTGCTTTGCGCCTCACTGAGAGTCAGTGTCCAAGTCTCAGCGGGCTTTGAACCCTTGGCTGCATGAGGTTTCTTCTGGCCTTCCTCCTGCCCCTTTCTCTGCCCCCGCCACCCTGGCTCTGTGCTGGTCCAGATGCACTTCCTCAGCTTCATCCGTGCCCTTTGCCTCTCACTCTCCCCACTGCTGCCCAGCTTTCCCATCAGGCCCCTGCGCCACCCCAAACACTTTCTGCTGCTTAGAAACCGCTTTGTTGTCTCCAGTACTGGCATTTATTTGTGAATTTGTTATTTCCTGGGGCTTTCTTCTTTAGAATATAAGCACAAATGAGGGCCGAACCTTGTTTTATTCTTTGCTGTATCCTCAGTGCCTCGAACAGTGTCTGGAATATCGTAGGTGTCTAGTAATTTTCCTGGCATTTTTATATTTTGAGATCAGAACAAAGATTTGTAGCTGTTAGCCATTTAAGAAGTGGTCAGTACTCATTTTTGGAAATCTTTTTTTCTGCCAATTTTGGTATAAATTTGAGGTAATTTTAACTTCTAAATGTAGTCAGTGGCCAGTTAGCTAGGTACTGTCAACCATCCAAAGACCATGGCGGCCTTTCCATGTGAGCCAGCTGTGTTCTAGGCCAGAGAGACGCACCCTTGCTTATGTTACGAGGGGGACCTCCACGTAGCCACGAAGCCTCTAGGTTTTGCTTGCCATCTGATTTCTGCAGCCTATTTCTCCACAGTCTATCACCATATTGACTGTTAGTTTTTGAAATTCCATCTCCACCTCTGATACATAAGTGTTCTTTCCTCCCACTGTAATCTTACAGGGAAGAACATGCCAACAAGAACAAATTCCACACTCATGGGGCAGAACAAACGATGACCTGATAATTATTTTTATTGTATATAAAGAGTTTTTATTGTTTATACTCATCTTGAGCTAAAACATTATAAATAGCCCCCAAATTTCTGATAGCTTTACTACAACTGCTTTTCACCAGATATTCATTAGTCTTTTACCTTAATGATCTGTCGTTTTCTGGACTAGTGAAGAGTATTGGAGTCTCTGCTAGAATATATCCAGACACAAGCGCTCTCATACTTGAAGTTATGAATTTGTTCCAGTTTGGATCATTAACCCACATTTGGCTGAAATTATGTATAAGTTAGAGTGGATCTCAGTCTACGTTCCATGAACTGGGCTGATGTGTGCTACTAGAATGATTTATTGGTGAACTTTTCCTAATTTTGGGGAGTGGGGGGCGGGATTAGGTTGATAGATACAATTTCCTCCAATTAAAATGTTTTATTCCACAATTTTCCTTAAAATGTTGGCATCTGTCCTTTGCCTTAACAACTGATCAATTGAGTGGATAAGGAACTAAGAACAGTTTTCACACTGGAGCTTGGATCATAATCACCTGGGGGGGCATATTAAAACAAATTGCTGGGGCTCATTTCAGGTTTCGGCTTTTTGTCTCTGAGTGGGAATCTGATGGGATGGGACTTACGGATTCTCTGTGGAGAGATGACTTGCTATTTCATCTCTTAATTCTTTCTAGCTCTCGTGGGGTGGTTCAGTTGGTTGGAGTGTCATCCTGTTTATGTTTTGCACTTTCTTATCCTAGAGCCTTTTAGTTTGACTTACACTAAAAGCATATTTCCATAATGAGGTGATGTCATGGACATCCTTTTTCTCATTCCGTTACCAACAAACAATCTATTATACCCTCACTTCCAAAGGTCCTTAAAATTACAGGTATCCCTCACTGTCCAAATTATTCAGTTCCCAAATTCAGCTAGTTAGCATTCTTATAGTGAGAGATACCTCTATATGAGCAAATATAATCTCAAGTTTTTGTTGCCTTTGTAAAGGAACGCTGAGTAAGACATTTTATGATGGGCAATACTTTGATAAAATACCCCTAAATATTTTGAATGTTGATTTTAACGACAAAAAGATATAACAAAACTGTTGCAGACAAGAGATAATAAATATATCTTTGTAGTTTACTCACAGAGTTCATAGAATGTTACCAAAATGTGTGATTTGAGCTGATTATTGACCTATACCTAGATAGCATAATAAAGAGCAAAGATGATTCTTAATGGTAATGGAAGGATAAACATTTATTGAGCACTTGCTATTTACCAGTTGCTATTCAAAGCACAAGCTATGAGCAAGACCCAATAAGTCCTTCCTCAGAGCCTGGGGGCATTGAAGACCTCAGCATGATAGGACTGGCTGGAGCCCAGGTAGTCTAAAGAGTGGAAACATTAATTACTATAGTACTTTTAATACTCTGTATCTTTCTCACGAGTCTGTGTAGCATGGTTTTTATGTATTTACCTCCCCATTTTGTTTTGTTTTTCATATTTTGTTTCTGTTAGGAGAGAACATTGAAATTATTCTCTAAGCTATTTGAAGAGAGTGACTAAATGCACCTGGGTCAGGCTGTCTGTGGGTATGAAGTGGTTGGGAGAATCCAAGAACATGGTGGTGAATGGCAGGAGAAATGGAGGCAAGTTGTCTAATGACCATCAGCAGAATCAATCAAAATTACAGCACACGGGAAAGGACACCGTGAAGGCTGGCAAAAACGCAGTGGAGAGGAGGTCGAGCAGATGTATGTACACACTCAAACTGTCGCTCTTTTGATTGTGATATGGGGCAGTAATTCTTTCCAGTTTGTAATGTATTCTGTGCTCTGTTGTTTTCAAAACAATTCTTTATGTTCTCACATAGTTAACAATATAGTATTTTACTCTTTCAAAGTTGTATCAGTTTTTATTCTCATCAAATGTGTACAACTTCAGTTTAATGCTTAATATAATAACTTCAATCATCCTTTTATATCCATGGTTTTAAATTATTTTTGTAGAATTTATACCTAAGTGGCTAATCTGTTCTATAAAAAATACTAAAATACTGCTACTGACCTGAGTTTCTTAAAAGTTCAAGCTGTATTTTTTATATTTGATGTAAGTATAAATATGTATGTCTTTGAAAACTTAGCGTAATATGAATAAAGTTAACTCTGATTTGCGTGATAAGTAGAGTTTAGAGCAGCTTCACAAACTGTCACCATTTCTTATATTTGTATAGGGTGAACAATCCTTTACCTGGAGGCACTGTTGATATTAAGTTACTTTTTTACCTCTATACCTCTTGGTAAGAATGAAATGACTTGTTGAGAGTTGTGAGAAATTGTAGAGTTTCATGGTTCTTCTGCAAGTAGTAAATCAACCCAGGATAAACATAAACCTAAGTAGACAACTACACAAAGGTTGTCCAAAAGTGTATGACCACGTTAAGGAGCACAACTTTTTCTATTTCTTACTTTTCCTAAGGTTAAGTTAGCCACTGCTAAACAGCCTTAGTTGGTGTTGGACTTTGCCTGCTCCCCAAAGATTGAAATAGCCTGAGTGTTCTGCAGTTTCAGTTAGATTGCTCTAGTTCTGATTCATTTCATTTTTACCTTTTAGGGGTTTATGCTATTCATTGGGCCCAGACTGCCCTTAACCTTTCCATGTCAGACCAGGTCACTGTTTTTGTAATGGATTCTCTTCTGCATGGACACCTCCTTACCCCTTAGCATGTGATGGGAACCTGAAGGGATTGAGAAATGTAGTGACTATAGCAGTGGTGTTGGCTCTGCTCAGTAAATTAGGTATCTCTTACATTTTTTAAAAAATATATTTTTATTGATTTCAGAGAGTAAGGGAGAGAGGGAGGGGGAGAGAGAAACATCAATGATGAGAGAGAATCATTGGTCAGCCGCCTCCTGCATGCCCCATACTAGGGATTTAGCCCCCAAAACTTTATGGATTGAATGCATTTCCTATCAAAATCTCAACTGGCTTCTTTGCAGAAATTAACATGCTGATACTAAAATTCTTATGGAAATTTAAGGGACCCAGAAAAACTAAATCTTGAAAAAAAGGACTCTTAGTCATCAGGAAAATGCAAATTAAAACCATAAGATACAACAACCAGAAAAACTAGAATCAAAAGGATAGATAATAACAAGTGTTGGTGATGATGTGGAGAACTTAGAACCCTCATACACTACTGTTGGAAATGTAAAATGGTGCATCCACTTTGAAAAACAGTCTGGCAGTTCCTCTAAAGGTTAAACGTGGAGTTACCATGACCTAAGCAATTCCATTCTTAAGGATGTACCTAAGAGAATTGGGATAACATATGTACGCACAAAACTTTCATATGATTGTTCATAGAGACATTACTCATAATAGCCAAAAGTGGAAACAGCCCAAATGTCCATCAACTAATGAATAAACAAAATGTGCTCTATCGATACAGTGGAATATTATTTAGGCATAAAAAGGAATGAAGTACTGATGCATGGTACAACATGGATGAACCTTGAAAACATTGTGCTAATTGAAAAAAGCCAGTCGCAAAGACCACATATTGTATGATTCTAGCTATATGAAATTTCCAAAGTATGCAAATCCATAGAAACAGAAACTAGATTAGTGGTTGATGGGGCTGGGAGGGAGAAGTAGGTAGTGACTGCTAATGGGTATGGGGGTTATTTTGGGGAGTGATGAAATGTTCCAAAATTGATTGTGATGGTAGTTATACAATTATGTGAATATATTAAAAAATAACTATTAAATTGTACACTTTCAATAGGTGAATTATATGGTATGTGTATAATCAATAAAGCTGTTACAGAAAATAAAATGATCTGATAGCTTTTCACATACCCACATGCAAATCATATACCTATCCTTTGGCAGGGATTTTCATAAAGTGTTTAATTTTTTTTAAGAGTGGATGAAAAGAAGTTATACCTCTCACTGTGTGTTTCTCTCGTTCTTCCACATCTTAATTTTGAGAGGCTTACCGTCATACAGCTGGTATCATCACTGACTGCTGATAAGACTCTCAATGACGTACTGAAATGAGCACTGATGAAACTGATATATACAAATTCGGCCTTCCTTTCCTCTCTTTAAAGTGTTTTTCTTCCACAATTAAACCCAACGACTTCCATCACATATATATTTCTTTCATCTTCCCTATTTTTCAGTGAACATTTTTTCAGACAGGTCAGTTAGAAATAGGCCTATCATTCTCTCTTTTCTCCTTTCCCCACCTCTACTACCTGCTTTGTAATCTTAGGCAAGTAAATTGCTTAACTTCTGGGCCTGTTCCCAGCCAAGTGGAAATAATAATCACTCATCCATCTGAAAGCAGGAAGCTGGAGGTAGCTACACAGGACTCCTTTGGGTACTTAAAATCAAGCTCTCCCCTTTTGGCACTTACTGCAGAGTGTCTTGTGTTCGTTCATCCTGTTTCCTCACCCCGGCCCTGTCTGTAGTGGCCTTTTATGATGCTCTCTTGCTGCCTCAGTGAACCTCCACCTTCCCGTTTCTCAGCTCTTCCTTGAGGGGCAAGACATCTGAGCCCAAGATGCTCACAGACGCT